TCACAGCCTCGACGCCCGCAGGGCTGTCCCCTGTCCTACGGGTCTCCCGTCACAGCCTCGACACCCGCGGGGCTGTCCCCTGTCCTACGGGTCTCCCGTCCATCGTGAGTTGGGACCACCATGTTGGCAATGAGTTGAGTCTATCTCATTTTGCAGCCCCCCTCCGCCCACCCCAAGAGATTATATCACCCACGTTGAGAAACACTGCTTTAGAACTGCCCACATTCAAATCCTGCTGTGCCACCTCTCAACTGAGAGCCCTTAGGCAGGTTACAATCTCTGCTCCCCCATTTTCTCGTCTGCAAAATGGGGGCAAGAGCAGTAGCTGTCCCTCATGGTGAAGAAGCACTACACAAGAGTGAGTGCCAAGAATGTTATTTCACTAAGAAAATGTTTTCAACCAAGACAAGTTCAAAGCATTTCAAGCTTTAAGAAGAAAAAGAACGTGCATTTCGCTAGAGAGGTTACTAGAGTTCAAAAAATGTCCACTCTTGTAGAAAACAGAATGGCATTAATACATGTAACGCACAGCCTCGCATACCTGTCTGGAAGACTAGCTCTTTCCCTCCGACGCCCGCTGCCTCCAGGTTGATGAACGCGCGGACCAGGCCGGCCCAGGGGTGCTGAGTAATGAAGCCGTGGCTGGCCTAATTGAGGAGAGCACATTCAGGTGAACCACCCTCAGCGGTCAGTCTCGGCTTATTTGAGGGCAGGGTGGCTCTCTTGATGAGGCGTGGGTCAGAAACAAACAAACAAAGCTCCCAACTCCCTGGCATCGAGCCCAGGCCCACTCACAGTGGCCCTGGGGCAGGGAGAACTGCCCCTGTGGGTGTGTGAGGCCTGAACTGCTGACGGAGCACAAAGCCTCCTTTCTCGCCCTCAGCGTGGCTGGGGGATTTGAGCTGCTGACTGGCAGTGAGCAGTCCAGCGTGTAACCCAGCCGCCACAAAACTAGCACTTCTTCCAAGGTAGCACCCAGGGGCATCTCCGAGAGTCTCCACACACTGCACACTGGCTGGGTGTCGCCTGGCACCCGGGCAGGCAGAGGCAAGCAGGGCGGTGGGTGTGGCGGGGGCTGTCAGCCTCCATGCGTGCCCTGACACAGCTCACGCTGGAGCTTTGGAAAGAACCTGAGGTGAGTAACCGTGTGATCAAGGAGCCTTTTAGGAAGCAGATGCTGCCAAGATGATCTGTTCTGAGCGAGCGTTCCAGACACGGGCCCTGCCACTGTAAGCAGCTGTGGGCTTCTTCACGTACTACGCCTAGGTCCCGTCCGTCTGGCTCCTGCCTGCTACCTCAGGAGGCTAACGGGATGGGGCTGTCCTGACCACGGCTGTTGGCACAGGTGAGGACTGAGGGTGGGGCGGCCTCACCTGCAAAACATTTTCCTCGGCGCCGTTGAAGAGAAAGATGATGGCGTGGTGCAGGGTCTCTGAGGACGTCGACAGGACCCGGAGGACCTCTAGCATCACCGAGCAGCTGACCGCGTCGTCGCTGGCACCTTGAAATGACAAGAACAGGCTTGTGTGGCCGGCTCCGGAGCTGCCACGGTGGCAGCTGGGAAGGGGGCCTCCTGTAGCACAGCATGGGGGTACCCAACTTGGGTTCTGCCTGCTGAGCCGGCCGGCACACTCAGGGGCCCAGGACCTAGCAGGCCCACCGCAGCCGCCCAGGAACATGTGCAGCAGGCCGGCCAGGAGGACCCCCAAACTAGGGCTGCCAACTGCCATCCTGATCCTTGTTCCAATCCTTGGGATGTCTGCCCCTAGAGCTCCCGGCATCTGACAGATGCCTGCCTCCGTCCTTTCTGCAGCTCCTCCTGCCTGGACCTTCAGTGCTGCGATGAGTCACACAATCCACAGGGGGGCCGGCCCGATTGGAGGGGGTCGTGGTTCAGGTTGAAGTCCCTGGAGTGTTTCAGGCTTAAGGATATGTAATATTTCCAGTTTTAAGCCCCTGTCATGTTTAAGGCTTCTCCCAAAAGAGCATGGTTAAAAGGTCCAAAGAAACAACACCACCACCACCACCCCCCACTCCCCCTCAGTAGTTAGATACAGGGGCAGGGGACCTGGCCTTGGCGGTATCCCAGGGGGGCTATGGTCACATGGTGTCCCTGCTGCCTGGTTTGGGAGCTCCCTATAGGCGACAGTAAACATGACTTCGGTGCTCTGGCCGGTCAGAGGTGGTTAACAACATTTATGACTGTCTCTTAGGGGAGGTGATGAATGGTACATTGCCATGTCAACAAGGAGAGTCCTCTCAGCTACTCAGACTGCTGTACTACAGAGGAGTGGCGGGCGCTGGGGCGTGCTGCACAGAGCCAGAGCAGCAGTCTGCTGTCAGGGCTGCATGCGCCAAGCACAAGCCTGGGGTCTGGCTGAGGGCGGCTTCCCTCCTCCCTGCACACCGAGGGCAGGCACCGCAGCGGCCACCGCGCTCACTGGGGCTCCTGTGACAAGCCACCTATAATCAAGGAGAACCAAGGGCGTGTGTTCTCGCTCCCGCCCAGCAGGAAGGCTGAGCAGCTGTCCAAGAAAATTGCCGCCTTCCAGAGGCAAATGCAAGGTTTTGTTTTGTGTTTTTAACTTGGAGGCTGTTCTTGTGAAATGAGCGGCCGATGCAGAGTGAATGGTCCAATTGAAGGGCAGGTGGGAGACGAGGGAGAAATCCAAGGGACCAGAGGAGGTGCTGCAATCTCCTTCTGCGACCTTCCCTGAGCATTCAGGAAGCCCTCACGTACACCTGTCCCGGCCAAGGGTCCGCAAACTTTCGAGAGTAGGAGCCACTTCTGTCCCTCAGAGCAATTTAGACACTGGAGAGCGACAACCACATTTTTACAAACAAGCGAAATCACCATTATCTGAACATCCGACACCCTTTAAGTGAAACTATGATAGTTTGATTTTCATGGCCAATTTTACATCTGAGCCACATGGACGTACGGCTCTGGAGCCTGTTTGCCGAGACCGTGGTCTGGGCTAAACCATCGTTTCTCTCCCGTTGTCTTAGTGGGGGCCTGTGTCCTCAGTGGGAGCACCGGCAGGGTCAGACATCCTCCAAGACAACGGAGGCGAGAGGGCAGTCTGGAGGGGCCGGGTCGCTAACTGCCCGTCCTTGAGTTTAGAATTCACCCTGCCGTCAGAGGCACTCCCCGAAACAGGCCACTGCTCTTCTTTCTACCAACACCCTGGCACCTCACAGCCAGGGACAGCTCCAGCCTCCCCGGGGGACACGTTACTCCCAGGCGGTGTCAGTTTCTGAGTCTTGGCTACCTTACTGAGCACGTCAAACAAAACAACGTCCACTTCTGTTTCAATTTGTTCATCCACCAACGGGGGCGGGGCCATGAGAGGAATGTGTGAAAGCCTACCTGTCACCCTGTACCCCTGACAGACATGCCCTGGGCGTTGTTGGTGTGGTTCCCGCCAACCACACTGTAGTTCGTCTAGAACTGGGCTCACACGGCCCATCTTCCGTATCAGGCTCCACCTGGCGCAGTGTTTCACTCTTGATAGGTGCAGACGCATCTTTCTCATGGGTCTCTGAAGTCACCACGCTGCTCGCCTCTTCCAGAACTCTAGCATCTGGCATGGCAGGCATGGGCCGGGGTACCGGGGAGGGAGAGTGGGCACTTACTTCACTGCGGCTTCGAAGTGACCCCGGCTTCTCCAGCACGCTGCACAAGTGTTCCTGGAGCTCTACAGCAGATGTGCAGACGGTGTGACTTCTGCACAAGCCCGAGACACTGTAGAAGCAGCTGGCAAGCTCTCTGAAGACGCTGGCGATGGACTACTGAGCCACACTCCTCAGGTCTGCTGTCCATTCCGCGTCACCCTAAATCAGTGGTTCTCCACCTTCCTAATGCCGTGACCCTTTCATACAGTTCCTCATGTGGTGGTGACCCCCGACCGTAACATTATATTTGCATCACTACTTCATCACTGTCATTTTGCTACTGTTATGAATTGGGCGACTCCTGTGAAAGGGCCATTTGACCTCCAAAGGGGTCACGACCCACAGGTTGAGAACTGCTGCTCTAGATGCTCATAGTAGGCCTGTTTTAAGCTCACGTGACCCAGTGTGGTTACTAAATAACAGTAAACAGCAAACTGTGTGTGTCTGTGTGCACGCTAGGCACCGCTCTCATGTTCTCGCATCACTGATTCCTCAAAGCCACCCCATGAAGGAGGGATCACCGCCCGTCTTAAGAGATGAGAAACTGAGGGGAAGTGACTTGTCCAAGGGAGCAGCTCCCTACCCACAGCACCCTCTTACTGTGCGTCCTTTCCAGTGCAGCTCGGAGGACCAACTGGCCAGGCGGCCCAGCAGCTGGCCTCAGAACTGCCTGTGATCCGCCTGTGATCAGCTGGCCTCAGATCCGCCTGTGATCACGATCATCAGCTCGTTTATTTCTGCGTGGAATGAGGGGCCGAGCCAGATGGCCACTTCTAAACAGCGACTGCAGGCTGCTCTCTTCTACCCACTGTGATCAGCTCGAGTTACACTCTAACTACGTGAGTGTTTTCTTCTGAGACATATGTTTAAAAAAAGAAGACTTAAGTTCCACTTAGGGCCTTTCGTCCAGCGAGTACCCACTCCGCCAGGCTTAGTCCTGAGCATCAAGTGTTCGATTTGGGCACAAATATTTTCAGAGTGCTGGGATCTTGAGGTCCTCTAACAGAGTGGCAGCGCCAGAGGACTAAAATCCCCTTCATGGGTCGAGAGCCACCCCTGGAGGGTGTGCCTGTCCTTTCTCTCACTATCCCCGAAGCCTCCCCCAGCCCCAGCCAAGAACACGTGTGGCGTGGCAGCAGCTAGGCCGGGTCATAGGCACACAGGCTGTCTGTGGGCTACCGCTGGGCAGGCGGCTTTGCTGTATCACACACCAGCCGTGGGCACCAGCGTCAAGCTAGAGAAGCAACCAGAGAAGGCACCGGAGAAAGAACCCTGTGGGGTTAGAGCCTAAGCCAAAAGATACAACTCTCGCTGCCCTGCCTCCAGGCAGGATGAAAAGCTGCCCAGGAAAGCAGAGCCCTGAGGTTCCCTGGGGGTTAGCACCCCTCCGGGGCTGTACTGACTGCACAGGCAGTGCATACCTGGTGAGTTGGGCACTGAGTCAAAGTGGCAGTTGGCCAGGACCGCGTGCTGGGCTCCGGCCTGGGGTTCCAGCTTCACCACGACGTTGGTGATGTTGTCGTAGTAGCTCGTAAACCCCCCCAGGAAGTCGATGCTGAAGGAGCCTGTGGGCCGCTGCACGTCCACAGAAATCTTGTGGGCGTCGCTGCTCTGCTGCTCCACCAGCTGGATCTGCTCCAGCAGGTAGCGCACCGTCAGGACCTCATTCTCGGGACTTCCGGTCGTCCTGGGCCCGATGGAGGTTATGTGCTCCAGATAATGCCTGGGCGGGTCAGAGGGAAGAGGCACAGGCTCAGTTAGACCCATATGACTGAGCCCAGAGGAGCTTTCCTCAGCACTCTCCCCTCCTTGCAAAAAAAAAAAAAAAAAAGTCAAAAAACAACAAAAAAGGCTTATTTTTCTGACATCTCACAGATGCAAAAACAGATAAACAGAAATGAAAAACCCTAAACCTGTGGGCGACAAGTTGGGTCCCCCTTGTGCTAGAGTGGGGCTTTCCCTTAGGGTTTTTCTTGGCTGTCATCACAATAGATGACCAGATTTCTCTTCTGTAGTAGGCACCAGGGGGAATGGTGCCGACCAGGGGCCTTCAAACATACAATGCCTGCCTCTCACAGCCGCACACAACCTGTAAAAATCCCTTGTACAGTTCCCATCAGCACACTGGGCCTCCCAGGAATGCAAGTGTTTGGTTAGCGCTGCCCACCCCAACCACAGAGAATCGCAATCCCACATCAAACCAACAGAAAATTAGGGACGGTATTCCAAATACATGATTGAGGGCGTAGGCAGAATGCAACTGAGCAACCTGCAGGGGGGTCACCGACTGGCTGCATGGATCCCTAGCAGAAGACAGGATGCACAAACATCACTAAGGTTAACATGCAAGAAGAAGGGGAAAAAACCCACTAGATTATAAAGAGTAGCCCCAGCCCCTACTGTAAACACACCAGATCTAATAACTTCAACCGGGGCCCCAAACAGACTTTTTGTTTTGGCAGATTTTGAACTTTTTTGTTTTGTTTTTTAAAAAAAGGAGGAAAGGAGGGTTGTGTTTCAGAAAGGAAAATAAATTTTCAGCACTATGCACTCAGAGAAAATGTCTTCAACACAGTGGCTGCTGTAGAAAATGTTCTGCTAGCTTCCGGCACTTGGGCCTCAATAAATCTTTAGTGTCATTGCCTTTCCCAACACACTGGCTGATCTTTTCTCTTTCCTCCCCGCGAGGAAGAAGGAGCTCTGGTAGCTGGTGGTTACTGGCGGCTGTGATCCGCATGGCTGACAGTTTAAAGTCACCAGCATCTCGGGGAGAGAGACTGGACTTTCTACTCCAATAAACATCTACAGTCTTAGAAACCCACCCGGGGTGGTGATGGGGGGTCGTTGCTCCCAGTCAGCACTGACTCAGATGGCAGTAGTGAATTTGGTTGTTGGGGGGTGGGGGTGGGGGGCCCCGGAGACAAAGTCAAACCTCACCCAGCCACCAAGGGCACACTTCAGGGATCTGCGAAGTGGTGAAACGGTGGTGGCATTTGGAGAGGGAGGTCTTCCGGGAGATGCCTTAGCCTCACATTGGGCAATGGGATACCCCCGGCCCCTCTAGATTCAAAACCACTGCACCAGCCCACCCTCCCCCAGCCCCA